GAGGTATGTAAGGATCGTGACACTTGGCGATCTGTTCTCTCTGGCTACCCCGTCAGGGATTGTGCGTGAAGATAAGGTCAAATTTATCTGCACCCACTAAAATGTCAATAGAAGAAGGTAGGCCCGTGTGACTTGGACTTATTAATTGTAGAGGTAGTGGAATCAATCTTACCAAATTAAACTTATTGCACATATCTTCCGTAATAAAATTACAAGTGATTCCATTGTCAAGCAGAAGTCTGGCTGTGTGATGTTTTCCGTTTTTGTATTTTACACGTAGCAACGTTGTAGATAATATGACGTAGGCAGCGTTAGAAGATGAATTGATATTTGTCGAAAGTGTTACATTAGAAGAAGATGGGTCTTTATGGAAATTATCTTTATGCAAAAGAGTATTATGTCTGGAATTACAATACTTGCAATAAGGTAATCTACAGTGGTTATGACTTGTATGTAAGCAATTATTACATACTCTACTTTCGGTGGCTTTTTTTATACGAGAACCTACATCAAGTTTAATGAACGAAGGACATGTAAATAAGAAATGATTTTGTGAACACATTAATTGTTACACAAGGACATTTAATGTTATTATTATAATTTTTCTTGTTTGTATTTATTAACTCGTTTTTGCTAAATGAACTGTTGTAATTATTATTGTTATAAGTTAAAGGTTGTGATTAAAGTTTTGAGTGTTTGACGTTATGTATAATAGGAATAGTTACTCCAGCATTAAATGTATCCAATAAATCACACCTATTGTTTAAAAATTTAATGAATTGTTGTAAACTTGGTGAGTTACAATTTAAGCTGCACCTGTATTTTTCCCATAGCCGATTCGTAACTGAGTCTAATTTTTTTTGATATTACTTAAACAATAATTGTGTCCCATTGATCGACAGGTTCACCTAATGTTGCAAGTGCTCTCAAATTTTTATTCATCACATCAATAAGATTTCTTATTTCTAAACTACTTTCAGAGGATCTATTTTTTGTATTTAATAAGGCTTGTGTATGATTGATGATTAAAAGACGTATGTTATCATATCGTTCCGTTAATAATTGCCATAGGATAATTGTTTACTCTTACATCTAAACTTTGAATAATTAATGACGCAGTACTTTTCAAAGCTGCGCGTAAATAGTGAAATTTATGTACGTTTTTTTATTTATTTATTGGACAACACAACAGATTACATCATGACTTAAAGCTATAACTTACAATAATAATGGTGTGATACAAGACATAATCCTTATACGTGTTATCACGGCATGCCAAGAATAAGAAACAAACATTTAAGATAAAATTGCTTAAACTAACAGGCTCATAAATCCAACAAATCAAGAACTATAACTATAATGAATATCAATCAAAGGGGATGTCCTTGAGAATGTCTTTCAAAACATTTCTAAAGCGAACCAGGCTAGAGTTGAAGATGTCAAGGTTGGTAAAGCGAAGGCTATAATCCTCATAAAGTCGACATAACCTTGATAGGGGTTGATGCCGGGAGATATTATTTCGTGATAGGGGTATGTCAAATATTTTTCCATAGGTCTACGTAGATTGTATTTTATGTTAAAATTTAACAGTTCCAAGACCTCGGGGCTGTCCAGTTCCTAGTGTATTATTTTGTGTAGGTTAACTAGGTCCAATTCGTCGCGACGGAGGTGAAGTGGTGTCATGTCAAACTCTTTAAGCCTCTCAGCATATGAACAGAGTCTTTTATTGTTGCCGGTACCTAAGCTTAATAAACGCAAAAACTTGGATTGGATCGATTCAATGCGCTCAGAGTGCACTGCGTAGTATGGATTCCATATCATTGAACCCTATTCTAAATTAATTCGAACCTGAAGTGCCTGCTCTGTCTAGTATCAACCGTTTGAGATGTTATTAATATTAATATGGATAATTGAAAGATACGTATTTCTAAATTTTTTTTATAGGATCGGGTGACAAACGAGCACACAGTCCACCTGCTGGTAAGTGGTTACTGTGAACCATAGACATCTACATCTATCCTCAATAAAGACTCAAGATGCAGATGCGTTGTCACCCGTGAGGACTAAGATGGAATGCCTCTTTGCCAGAAAAAAGGGTTTCCGGTTCTCTACACTCACCATACGAAACACAGCAGCGATAAGCTGCTATTTTACGCTGGTTTTCTGTGAGAGCGTGGTCCTTCCCCGGTCGAGCCGACCCATTCGTGCTACAACTGTACTATTAATATAGCTGCAGCATGGCTCTACCACGTAGAAATTCCAAACATTCATGAAAGTCACCGCTGAACTGCGGCACGTTGATATCAGGCAGATCGAATTTCGGAGCACAGCTATCTTTATGGTCACCTGTCATGGAACCTGCCCTAGAAGACGTTGATGAAGTAGCAGCATTCATCATACTACGCGCCAAAGCAAGGAGTGAATAATATTGTTCTTCGTATTGGAGGCGTCCGTTGTATTCGTCCTCAACCTGCTCTGACAATGCCTCAATCTTCATCTGTAACGCGTCAGATTGATCGTATAGCGCATCAATTTTTCTAAGCCAACATTCCAGTTCCGATTTTTGTAGCTTAGACAAGACAACCGAATCTTTTATAAGATTAAAAAAATTACTAAATGATGTGAGTTTGGCTTTAAGGCCTCCATTTCCGGACGTTTTTTAATTAGGTCTTTAAGGGAAGGACTGGCCCTTTTGATTCTTAACACTCTTAATTAAAACAAATAATAAATAATAATTATACACTTTACTCAAAAAAATCGAACTAAAGAAGACAATAAATATTATAATAAGATCGAACATCTAATAAATATGCAACAAACAATATGTATAAACGTAGTAAAATAATAAGCTTATTACGTGCTTATCTATAGAATAATGTTATAGTGGTTACATTTATACATGTAAAATTTATATATATATATATATATATATATATATATATATATATATATAATTATTATTACATATATAAATGTATATATATATATATATATTCTGAATTGCTTGATAATGAATAGATGATAATATATAAGTATGAAAATAGGAATTGGAACGAACTCACTCAGTGCCGTTTTCTATTTTGGGTCTTTAGGTCTCCATATCCATATTCTTTAAATTCTGAAGTATTTTCAAGTACACATAATGACTGCCATAATGACGCTTAGATTTAATTGCCGATATGCTTCTGGTTCATTTTTAATTGAAGGTCCACTTTGTTGTTGATTGATACACAAGTAGACTGTAGTACTTATAGGTTTATTTGATTTTAATTAAAATATTTTGTAGAAATTAAAATGTTGATGCAAAAGATAATAGAAGGTAAGGGAAGCGTTCGTTTACGCCAGTGTTCGATATTGAGTGTCGCCCCCGGAGCTCATGCGGATCTCGCCAGCTGTCATAAAGACGTTCAAGGTATAAGACACTCAAATGTGCGGGCGCAGGCACGTTGGGAGGTTTTACTATGTTCTTAACAAGACGTCGCGAACAGTCACAAAGATCATTAACGTACAACAGGTAAAGAGTTGGTCCAAGAGTGCTTCCTTGTGGGACTCCGTAATCACAGTTTATTATGTCACTAATGTTTGTGCCAACTTTAACCTGCTGGCTTCGATTACTTTAGTAATCCCTAATTCAATCGTAGGGAATCCCATATATACCAAATCTCTCCATTCGCTTCAGTAGTATCCTCGACAACACGGTATCAATGCTTTTCGTAAGTCCAAAAAACCCCAACAGAATGATCATTATTATTATCTAAATAATTTGCTACCCGTGTAGAGTCTTAAAAAAGCACCGTCTGTGGATTTGTTCTTTTTAAAACCATACAGATTGGATGGGGTGAGATTTTTTTGTTCAAGAAATTTCAATGATTCAAAACTTTTATATTTTAGTACTTTTATATAATGATTTCTTATATTTACGCGAACACTACACATTTTTAAATAAAACTAATTTTACGGATTTTATCGCCTATATTAATCTATTTTTATATTCCCGACGTTTCGGGTGCTTTCCAGCACCCGTGGTCACGGGGGACTGAGGTGTTTGACGTCCTGCTGTCATAGTTAGCCCGGCTACCTTACATCTACATCTATTAAAAAACTGAAGGTAGCCGGGCTAACTATGACAGCAGGACGTCAAACACCTCAGTCCCCCTTGACCACGGGTGCTGGAAAGCACCCGAAACGTCGGGAATATAAAAATAGATTAATATACGCGATAAAATCCGTAAAATTAGTTTTATTTAAAAACTTTTATATAATATTATATTATATATTGACTATATAATATAAAAAGGTAATTTTGATCATTTCTAGAAGTTGATCTAGAAATGATAAAAATTACGTCGCCACGTTAATAGCTCTCAAACTACTACGAATGAGTAATGCTAATTCTTTTTTTATAGGATAGTGACAAACGAGCACACAATCCACCTGATGGTAAGTGGTTGTTGTGGCCTATAGACATCTACATCTATCCTCGTTTGCGATCAAAATGCTGATGCGTTGTCACCCGTGGGGACTAAGATGGAATGTCTCTTTTCCAGTGAAATGGGTCTCCGGTTCTCTACACTCACCATACGAAACACAGCAATGTTGAGCTGCTATTTGACGCTGGTATTCTGTGAGAGCGTGGTCCTTCCCCGGTCGAGCCGACCCATTCGTGCTACAACTATACTACTAATATAGTTGCACCATGGCTCTACCACGTATAAAAATTCGTGACAGCTCGTTGAATTTAGCGCTTGCTAAAAACTTGTGTTCGGCCAAAACTTCGACCCATTTTAGCCGAAGCCGAAAGTTTCGCCGACAGTGATTTTTTGACCTAATGTGGCCAAAGCTGAAGCCGAAGCTAAAGCTTCGGTCGGACACTACTGGCTAATAATATGAAGTTCTTGGTAAAGGGGTCGTTACATCCACGACAACTCATATATTTACATCATATGTTCATTTATATCGTCTATTATATTTCCATATTATATTTTAATATTTCATTTCAGTATTACGGACAGAGTCGTACGGGAGCGTGCTACTAAAGATCTCTATGGTTTCAAAGGACCTCCGTAAACTCGGCTACGATAATCAGCCGCCAGTCGCCAGTAGCAATTATTGTAACTAATTTTGAATAAAACTAATTTTACGGTACGATTAATCCGTAAAATTAACTTTATTAAATGCAATGTAATCGTTTAAATATAAGTATTACTTATTATGTAGCTATTTTTTTAAGAACACAGCAGTACTTTTGTATTTGTAAGAACACATGAGTCACAGATTTTTAAGTCACAGTTTCTAGAGTTAGTTTTGTTTACAGAGAGGTTGACGGGAATTAAATTCTGTTTTAAGTTTTTAAGTAAAATGTGACATTAAACGATTTTTAAGAACGGTCATCGAATTTAAAAAATAAATTTTTTTCTAACGCATATTTTCGTTTAATTCTAATCTATGTGGTAACTCAGGGGCGCTTGTCGTTAATTTCGTAGTACTTCCCGTAGTTCAGTAGTACTACGGGAGTAACTCGGGTTCTGGCGTACTCGACGCTAGCACCCGAGTTGCCTGTATCCCTGGCGATACCACTAAATTCTTGAAGTGAAAATTTCTTTAGGCGAGTTGGCGATTTTCGAGCGGGTAAAATATTATGAGTTCGCGTCACTGGCGTGCTAATGTTAACAGTTTATTTGTAGTGTATGATTAAGAGTGTATAACTGTTTTGAATTGGGAAAATGAAAACCAGGCTAATGTTATCATTTTATTTTACAAAAAATTATTAAATTAAAATTATTGAAACTACAATTAATTTGAAAATAAAAAAAGAACACTGCTATTTCATACTTTTATGTTTTCACTTGTGTCGGCAGTCCCCAATGACTGGCAATTTTATAATTGCAATTTCAAGTGTCAATTTACCACGTGATTTGCCACTTCAGTGGTGTAGAAAATAACCGGCCAAGTGCGAATCGGACTCGCGCGTGAAGGGTTCCGTACCATCGTAATACACGTTTCTAGTAGCTCCCTTTAATTTTTAATTTATTTTTATTATTTGCTGTTATAGTAGCAATAGAAATTCATATTCTCTAAAAATTTATACAGCCCGCTAGCAGACAGCCGGACGGACGGATGGAAGGACAGCGGAGGCTTAGTAATAGGGTCCCGTTGGTTACCCTTCGGGAACTGAACTCTAAAAATAGTGAAGAAACCAGTATGTTTCAGGAATTAAATATTTCGAGGATGGAAAGTCCGCCAACACTGGTGCAGCCCGGTACACTAATTGTTCCATTAACCCCTTAGAAATTATAGAAGAGTTACCCGTCAGTGGCACATATTTAGGCTATAACTTTACCTTTACTACTAATTTATTATCATATACATATACATATATAAGCGAAATAGCACTCACTCTCTCACTCATCAAGAGATCTCTAAAACTATCCACCCGATTGACTTTAAATTTGACATATATATATATATATATATATATATATATATATATATATACACTTCTTTTTTGGCGTAGATATCTACTAAGAAAGGATTACTTATTGTTATTCGATTGTTTACACCGCTACCACATACAAGTAATTCCATTATCACATTACAGTCCGTAAAACTCACTGCTAAACATAACCCTCCACCATAGATTGCCTCATATAAGATTTGCTAAAGTTATCACGCTTGGCAAGCGGGTTGGCAACCGCAGTTTTTCTTCTAGTTGTTATTAGGAAGATACTTCTGCCTATCTCCTGGTTTGTTTTCCTTTGTTGCCTCACCATCCACGGAACCATATGACGATTCGCCATCTAAGAGTATAATATAATCATAACAAAGGCCTATGGACTTAAGATTTAATGTGACATGTGAAAAAAATGGAGTACGGTATGTGATAAAAATGCTTATTATTCGTATTGATTAATGTTGCCGTTACCTAGAAAAAAACCCATAGTAGTAACCCGCAAACGTCATGGATTACATTAAAACTGGGCGGTTGACATAAGTAGGTAGTACTTTAGTTAAGTGGGGAAAAGTTGCAAAAAAATGTGCGCAGTTTACATGCGGTAGAAGAGAAACTTTCAAAAAAGGCTACGTAACACCGCGCAAAGAGGAGACCGAGATGAAGCACTGTATACTGTATTGTATCTCATTCTCTCGCAGGCTTAATGCTACAGATGTATAATAGAATGTTTGTCTCTTTTAAGTGGCACGCTTTTTCTTTTCATCGAGTTTTAAATTACGACGATCCTAAAGAAGTTTTTAGTTCAAAAACAAATCATTCCCATGTTAATGAACGAAGAATAAGTTATGATATTTCCTGTATTTCTTATTTATATACGACCCACATTTGTGCGTAGCTTCACTTAGTTATCGCTGGCGGATTCGATTCTTACTAAAAATTCGGGCAATATGTCTGGATGTTTTATTCGTGGTAGCGTGTGCAGCATGTGCAGCTACATATATTAGTAATATGCACTGTTGTAGCACGAATTGGTCGGCTCGACCGGAGAAGGACCACTTTCTCACAGAATACGTTTCGTATGGTGAGTGTAGAGAACTGGAGACCCTTTTTATTGAAAAAAAGGCATTCCATCTTAGTCCTTAGGGGTGACAACGCATCTGCATTTTGATTGAGGATAGATGTAGCTGTTTATGGGTCACAGCAACCACTTACCATCAGGTGGACTGTGTCGAGCACACTGTTGTCGCCCATTCCTATAAAAAAAAATTAAAGGTGAAACTTGTCTTTTCTCGGGGAGAAGCTGGAGCATGCGGATGTGCGACGAAGATGGTACATATGGGGTTTAAGTCAATGCGAAGCCGACATAACCTGTCCTTGTCCCCGTGAGGCGGTTCATAGGTTAAGTTGATTCGAGAATGATTTAGTTTTACAATTGGATCCGGTATGTGACGCTGTTGTCGAGATCTAAATATCACCTGTGGGAAGCCGGGGTCGATCGCTTGTAATAGTATAAGATTTTTGATAAGAAAAAGGGAAATGTCCAAAGAACTTGGTTCTTTAAGGTATTTGCATTAAATTATCTTTAAAATATTTTTTTCTTATTTTCCAGTTATGCAGGTTTTCTCACAATAGAATAGAATAGAATAATTTTTATTCAATATACATTACATGTGTAATTCTTATTGAAAATAACTCTGTCCTGGGAAGAACCAGCAAGAAACCCAGCGGGACTTTTTTTTGTGTTAATGTTTTAATGTTTTCCTTTACCGCCGAGCCCGTGATAAATCAGCACTTAAAATTGCAATTATTAATTTAATTGGTGCCGGCGGGGATCGAACCCGGGTTGCTCGCGTACTCTGAAATTTACAGCGAGCGCTAAACATCTGAGCTAACCCTCTCAGAAATGAGAGGAAGCCTGTGCCCAGCAGTGGGACGTATATAGGCTGTAACTTTAACTTAACTTTTATCTTTAAAAACCTACAACCTAAAACCTACATGACGTGATAGGGAGATCGAATTTCCGACTTCACCACACAGCAAGAGCAAGAGTAATATGCTAGCGATAAACCATGACGTTTAATTTGTATCATAAACCCTGATATATTTCTGCCTTGTCCCATAGTCGCCTCAAGCGGTATTTTTAAGATACACCCACGGGACCAAATGGGGTGATGACTTTTCTTACGCCACAACGCAGCAAGAGTTATATGCTCGGGGATTTTCAACAGTGGGCTGCTGCAGGCTGAAGACGAGATTGAATACGGACCGATAAACTTAAGTTCTAAATCTGAGCTGAACTGAGCGTTTGGTGGAGCCGCTGCGTGGCTGTGGATTTGAATTGCACGTGAAACAACTGTTTGCATACCTATGAATTATTGTTCCGGGTCTAAATGTTTGTCCATGAACAATTATGTGTGTATAACTCCTCCACCATATAGGAGAAAATCCTACTGTAAAGATTAAAAAAATTTAAAAAATGTAAGTGCTGCAATAACTGTGTATGAAATGTTCTGACGTGAGTAACTTATAAACTCGCACGTTACACAATTGCTATGCCCTGATATAGGACGTTGATAGCAGGTGTAGTTCGTTTATGAACGCGTCAATTAGTGCAACTGTGACCTTGAAATGCATTACCAATATCATTGACACGGATGATAACCGGCGCCGTGATGACAGTCATTAACGATGGTACAGACAAAATGCCCCCATGCCTGTGTTAAATGGAGCATAACTATGTATATTCTTACATTATTAGATATAACAAGTTTTTATATGCATTATGATTTGTTATATTGACGCGAACACTACACATTTAAATAAAACTAGTTTTACGGATTTCGTCGTCTATATTATCTTATTTTCTATTTCCGACGTTTCGAGCACTTTATAGCAGCCATGGTCACGGGCTACCTCCAGATTAAAATTAACCCGGCGTTTCGAGCGCTGTAAAGTGCTAATATCTCTCCCCTGAATTATCCATTTAAAATCAGAAAGTAAAAAAAAACCATTAATAATTTAATATATAGACTTTAGAAAAATATTACGCGACTGTGATATATTTTTTTCAATTTACTATTCGAATCAAAAAATGTTTCGATAATAATAACGCTCTCCAAGCAGCTGGAATCATATGGCGTATGTTCCTCGGTTCTAGATCCTTTAAAATAATGTTTTTCCCTGACTTAATTGTCTGTACGGTGATGGTCACAAATTAATAAGAACTAGTTAGTTATGACGGAGCTTAAGAAAATCTGCTAACCTTCCTCGGTACAATGGTTTTATCAAGGCCATCTTGGTCCTTGTATGGAGTCCCTGCATAGGCCTTTAATAAAATCAAAAATATAAATGAACTTATTCAAAAATAAATATTTATCTCGCCAAGTCAAGCAAAAAGCGACACGGCCGTATCATCCTTTTCTCGTAGCAGTTCAGGCCATTTTTGACCCCCTATAACTTCGTTGTGGATAAAACTAAAAGCTTAAATTTTCATTTACCAAGCAGGCATTATATAAGCACGGTATATTTCGAATTTCATTCAATTTGAACCAGTAGTTTAAGAATTATAACTAGTCAAAGTTTCTTAATTTTGTCACTCACTGACTGACCGATCATCAAAAGTCTAAAGCACTTTTAGCAGACATAGAACCTTTAAATTTAGATTACTG